GCGCTGAAGGGTTAGCCGATGAACGCAGCTCTGAAGGGTTAGCCGATGAACGCAGCTCTGAAGGGTTAGCCGATGAACGCAGCGCTGAAGGGTTAGCCGATGAACGCAGCTCTGAAGGCTAACAGGCTGACGTACGTGGTTAAATGGTCGAGCTAACTTTGTGACGGAGATTCACCGGATCATCCACCTACCATCACTGTTGATGATGTGGAGAAGCAGCTTCAGGTAGTTCTGGGTCTGCTCCACCAGGTCCCACGACTGCATTACAGACACAGACAGGAAACATTAGGAAAACAGACACTGGGTCACCTCTGTTGCTACAGCCTGTGGGAGCAGGGATGGAGCTGCAGAACTAAACCGGATCAGAACAAAGCAGGAGGGCAGCCCACCTGGTACCGGGTCCAGTCGATGTTCAAGTTCTGAGAGAAGCGCAGAGGGATCGTCAGAGGAGCGTCCACAAAGTCCTGTGAGTGAAGACGGAGGAAGATCAGAACATGAGCTCAGCATTACCCGGGCCGACATAAGGGACAGAACCGGTACCGGTACCTGGTTCCAGTTAAACACCAGCCCCTCCGCCGTGTAATCTCTGTCTTTGTAGTCCTTAAAAAACTCACAACCTGGAAAACAACAGATCCACAAACAGACCTCAAGGTTCTGACGGGCCGAAACCTGGTTCTGATGAAATATTGCATCAGCAGAATAAAATCCGGGTTCCGGAGCGGTTCCCCTGACCTGGGTAAGGCACGGAGAGCAGGGTGAAGTCTGCGTAGCGTTGGGCCTTGTCCACCTTCTCCGAAGACGTCACGCTGCAGAGAGACGAGGACGGCTTTAAAAAACAGAACCGGTCCGCCCACAGAACCCGACCTGCACCGGATCCGTTTCTACGGGGCTCCCACATATTCAACCTACCCCCTCAGCTCCTCAAACACCGAGTCAGTTACTATGGAAACGCTCCCTGTTTGAGGTCAGAATGAGGAAATAATCTGGATTATTCTAAGGTAGGAAATTCCTTCAATCACTGATCAGAAGGAATCTTTTCTATTCTGCAGCGCAGGAATTTATGGAGTCAGAAAACAGTGAAAATGTTTATAAACTTCTCAATCTTAGTTTAAACTGGAAAAAGAAAAGTTGATATTTGATGTGAAATTTTTATCTTATAATTTGAGAAACTGAAAAGGGAAAAAATAAAATACTAAGTATTGAATCTAAATTCAGTTTAGTATTTTGATTACACTTTTTCTAATTCTTTTCTTTATTGCAGTCGTAGATTTTATATTTTCAGATTCAAATCCATTACTTTCAGTTTTTTTTTACACTTTCTTTCACATTCAGACTTTGAGCCCAATCTGACGGTAGTGGGCGGGGAAACGTGATTGACAGCTGGAGAGACGTCCCATTCCATGTTGCATTCCTGAACTGAACAGATTCTCTGCAGCATTTATTTGCCTTTTTGGTAAAATCCTGTGAAAAATCTGACATTTCTGGCTCCATAGAGATTCAGCTGATTAGAAATGCAGTTTTTCACCGTTTCGATCGTTTATTTTTCTGCAGGGAAACAACTGAGAGGTGGAGGAGTTAGCGAGGAGCCAGACTTACTTCAGGCCAAACTTGACCTTCTTGTTCTCCACCATCAGGTCACAGATGTAGCGAACCGACAGATAGCGCAGCAGCTTGATGTCGTGACCTCGAACTTTGTCAAAGAGCTGCGAGTCTCCGTTCCTGAGGAGAAACGGCACGGAGCAGAACCTTTAGAGGGCGGGCGGTGCGGTCTAATGCCTGGATGACACAGGTTAATATCTCCGTTACCTGACTGCGCCGTCGTCCTCTGGGAGCTCCTCTGGTTCTGCCCCGGTGTCGTCGCTGCCCCCTGCAAACCGACCAGGAAGGTTAGGGAGGATGGTCTGCCAGCAGCAGATGAATCTGGTTTTTATTGCAGAGAACTTTGCGCTGAATGTTTGACCTCCGGACACAAACAGCTGCTGTTCTCCTCGTTCTGGTCGGCTCAGACCAATCCCTGCTCCTACGGTTTCATGACAGAGCAGGATGGAAAACCCAACCTCCTGTGTTCTGTGTGCAGACGCGTGTTTCTACCTGAGAAGATGTAGTTGTATCCCGTCCGTCCGTACAGCTCCCCCCAACCTGCCAACGTGGCCGACCGGCAGATGTGCTGCATGAAGAAAGCGGGTGAGATGAGAGGGAGGAGGGTTATTAAAACACAGAGGGTTCCTCCACGCAGAGCTGCAGGGGCGGAGCCAACAGCAGGCGGACGCCAAGTTGCCCTGGAAACCATCCAGATCGCACCCTCCTGCTGCGTGGAGGAAGCAGAGCTAAAAATGTCTGGTTGGCCGACATGCAAACGATCCCTGCAGCTAAACACGGAAAGGACGGCATCATGCTGAGGTGTGGAGAGCAGCTCAGCTTCCAGCAGACCAGCACTACCACAGACAGGAAAGGTTCAGACTGAAGGGTTAGAGTGGCCTAGTCAAGGGCCCCCCGAGACTAACCGGGCCCCCTGAGACTAACCCGAGCCCCCTGAGACCAACCGGGCCCCCCGAGACCAACCGGGCCCCCTGAGACTAACCCGAGCCCCCTGAGACCAACCGGGCCCCCCGAGACCAACCGGGCCCCCTGAGACTAACCCCAGCCCCCTG